TTACTAAGACAATGAATCTTTTCAGTTTTTCTTTTTATCTTCACAGTGCATTGTTTTTCTACCTGCTGTCTTATTTTTAGAATAATTTAGAAAAAGAAAATGAAGGCTCTTTTTCCTGATTTTGGCATGAATCCCCCTTGTTTCAAATGAAGATGGCATCATGAGGCAGCTGAAAGAGGAGAGCTTAGGTAATGCACAATGTGTTGGCTGCCTGTCCACGTCCGTCATGCACTGATGTGGTAGGCAAGCAATCTTTTTGTTAAAATCATGTTTGTGACCATAATCATTTGAATGAATTCTTTTACAGAAATTAAAATCCCAGAAAGAAAAAAAATTCATTATACACCTATTAAGAATGGAAAAAAAAAAAACCTGGCAGTACCAAGTGCTGACAAGAATGTGGAACAACTATAACCCTCCTCTGTTGTTTATGGGAATGCAAAAAATGGGACTGCACTTTTGATTTGGCTCTCAGCTTAGGGGTGCTGTTAATGTACAGGGATGCTACTGATTTTTGTACATTGGTTTTGTATCACAAAACTTAGCTGAAATTGCCTATCATCTCAAGGAGCTTTTGGGCAGAGACTATGGGGTTTTCTCAATGTAGAATCATGCCATCTGCATACAGGATTAGTTTGACTTTCTCTCCTCCTATTTGGATACCTTTTCTTTCTTTCTCTTGCCTGCTCTGACCAGGACCTCCAATACTATGTTGAATAGGAGTGGTAAGAGAGGGCCTCCTTCCTTGTCTTGTGCCGGTTTTCAAGGGGAATGCTTCCAGCTTTTAACCATTCAGTATGATATTGGCTGTGGGTTTGTCATAGACGTCTCCTTATTTTAAAGTATGTTCCTTCAATACCTACTTTATTGAGAGTTTCAACACAAAAGGGTGTTGAATTTTATGGAAAGCTTTTTCTACATCTATTGAGATAATCATGTGCTTTTTGTCTTTAGTTCTCTTTGCGTAATGAATCATATTTATTGATGTGCATATGTTAAAGCAACCTTGAATTGCAGGGATAAAGCCTACTTGATCACGGTGGGTTAGCTTTTTGATGTTCTGCTGGAGTCGGTTTGCTAGTATTTTGTTGAAGATTTTTGCATCTGTGTTCATCAAGGATATAGAACTGAAGTTTTCTTTTTTGTTGTGTCTCTGCCAGGTTTGGGTATCAGGATGATGCTGCCTCCTAGGATGAGCTGGGAATGAGTCCCTCCTTCTATTTTATTTTATTTTATTTTATTGAGTAGCTTCAGTATTGTCCTGCATGTTTTTCAAGTAAAGAAAGTAACAGCCAGAGAAAGAAATGACAATGAACAGTCAGCTTTGGTAAGCTGACTATGGAAATTAGCGACCAGAGAGGCTAGGATTAACATTAGGGTTTTTTTTGGTGATATAACAAGTAGAGTCCAGAAAACGGCCACCATATGTTTACTTGAACCCAAAAATTCAGCAGCAAATTTTCAGAACAGAATTTGTAATCTTGAAGTTCTGCTTTGTTTAACTCTAGGCCATAAAATCTTTAATGGAAATGTTTGCTTTAAAAATTGGCTGATTATGCATACATGATCGATTTTTATAATTTTCTAATGTTGGTTTAAGTTTATAAACTATATTATAAATGCTTGGCTGGATCCCATGAGAAAATCCCAAACAGTAGTTGTCAGCCTCTTTAGACTCTGAGCCCTTTCTTCAAACAAAACCTCCCAGTGCATCACATGGATAAAAGAGCTCAGAAGGCCAGGCATGGTGGCTCACACCTGTAACCCAGCACTTTGGGAGGCTGAGGTGGGCAGATCATCTGAGGTCAGGAGTTCGAGACCAGCCTGGCCAACATGACAACATCCCATCTTTACTCAAAATACAAAAATGAGGCGGGCATAGTGGTACACACCTGTAATCCCAGCTACTCTGGAGGCTGAGGCGGGAGAATCACTTGAGCCCTGGAGGTGGAGGTTGCAGTGAGCCAAGACTGCACTACTGCACTCCAGCCTGGGAGACAGAGTGAGATTCCATAAAGAAAAAAAAAAAACAGCTCAGAAGTGCTCATCTACCTAGTGTGGGAGGTAGCTGCACCCAGCAGTGTGTGGGGCTTCCACATGCACACTGCTAATGCCACCACTCCCAAATGTCAGTTCGAATTGTAGTTTATGGATTGAACCACATGGCATAACCACACATTTAATTTGGTTCTTGTTAACGGAGCTTTCAACTGATAATGTCTTTGAAAGTAGAAGTCTATTGCCTGGCAGGTAAGATTCAGGTCAGGGTAACATATCTCTATCCTAGAAATTCACCTGTCACAACATAAAATGTCCCTTATTGCTTTGTTTCATCCTTTGGACTGTCCTGCTTTCCTTTTTTAAATAATGCTTTCTATTTGGGGAAGAGCGGAAAGATCAAAGCTCAGCTGGTTGAATTCAGATGCTTTTAAGACAGTCAGAAGGGG